TATATGTAAAATGCTTCCATATTTTTTGATTTTTAGATCTTCCCATGACTGAGCCTAAAAAAGTTAAAGTTTATTTCACAACTATTAGTTTGACTAATAAATACATACATATAAATGTATCTGCTCCGCAATTTTCATACAATTTAATCCGCTTTTTGATATTTAAAAGCACACGTGCTTAAACAGCATTAAACATTAAAAAATTATAAATTTTAAACGACGTCAACTGATAGTGTTAGCCGTGGTATAAAAAAGAAGGTTTATACCAATGTAAGAACCACATTTCCAATAAACCGATTTGACTCAACACATATTTCTTTCGAAAGTGTATTTATAGCGCCCTCGCCGAAACCGTATTCAAAAGTAAACAAAATTTGTTGTTTTCTTTCGATATTTCTTTAATAATTAATTTGAGCGATTGACCGAAATGCGAACAGTAAGTCAAATTTATTATAATAATAATTCAAATTTAAAACGGGTGTATAAAGAAATTAATTAAGAAAATATTTTTTTTAAAATAATAAAAAGAAATAAGTTGCGCATTTGGAAGCTGCAAAAATACCACCTAACGATATCGAGTTTGATTGGCTGGAGAATTTTGCAGGTTACCTTGTGTCGAAAATGGGTTTGGAGGAATTCGGTTTCAGGACGAGTGAAGGGAAAGACAATAATTCACTTTCGTTAATTGCATATCTGAAGGCGGTATTTTATAAACCAAGTGCTGATTTTTTGAATCTTTTGGAGTATTTAACTCGAAATTTATTGAAATTAATGGTGAAAAATTAACAAGTCCAAATTAAAAAAAAAATCTATTGTGCAATTCAATTGATGATGCAATTGATAGGTTTGTTGAATTTATTACCTAAATAAAAACATTTAATAATGTTAACGCAACATACATACATAAATTTAGATAAATTTTCATGTTTGGGATAGGGATGAGAATTACCATAAACGTAAGTACATATGCCATTATCCTTTGTACTTCGAAGTAAAATTGCATTCTTTATATGTACTAATTATATATTTTCAATACATATGTATAGCATGTACTAGACTTGTTTGGCTTCGGCTTAGAAGACTAAAATATTTACATCCATTTACTGTGAAAGAAACTCCCATCTAGAAATTCCCTAATTTATTTTTAAATATTAACAACATGGTAACGCTGCTAGCAACATGAACACATTATGAGGCTTCAAAAATCGCAGTATCCGTCAAAAAGTTGTTTAAATATTCCGTTTTTACCCACAAAGAGTATTTAACCAACCATCTCTAGCAATGAGAAATAATGCAAAATTTGTTTTATTTCCAACCTTTGTTGGAATTAAAGCAAAACTCAGATTTTGGTAATGTTTCCCAATTAAAAGAGGAATAAAGCAAATTTTGCGTTATTGCCATTTGTGTTATTGCACCCCCCTCCCCCCACGTCGGACATCATGCTGGTATAGCTTTTCAGTTTATTGAATGATCATTATTCTTAAGTGAAAAATTAAACTCAATAATAATTTCTATCTTTGAGCGAAAAATCGAAATCATAAAATAATCATTATTTTTTATCGAAAAAACAAAAATGAAGTAATAATAATTTCCATTCAGCGAAAAAATAAAGTTCAGATATTAATTATTAAAAAAGCATAATTTATTGGTTAAACTCAAGAAATAAAAATCATTGTAAATTACAGTACGACGTACGAACACAAATACGTAAGTATTATTAAAATTGTTTTACGACGATTACAACTATTTGATTTTTTGGGTTTAAATTTAAAAAATAATTACTATTTTCCGTCCCTGACAGAAACCATGAAAGAAAGTGTGAGCGCTATTGATTTCGATTCAGTAATTTGGGAGAAATTAAGGAATTTCAATCCTTTTATGTGAACATAATTTAGACCAGCGTTGCCAGGTTGACGTTTTTAACGTCATTTGGACGTTTTTTTTATCCTGTTGACGTTTGGACGTTTTTCGTGTAAAAAATGACGTAATTTTTCTCTATGAAAAATATATTCAGTGTATAACGTACTATTTGCTTGTAGAGTAAGTACTTACGCTCACACTTTCGGATCTCATGAAATTAAATAAATGTTCGTGCTTAGGCCTAAAGTTAAAGCATAATAAGCGTTTACTTGAGTTTTTTGAAATGTATTCATACAATTTTTTCTAAGCAGTATATATGAATTTATGTACATATGTATGTACATATGCATATATACTTTACATATGTATGTATGTACTTAAATTTAAAAATTATCTGAGAAATGTTTAAACAAAATGTATTTACCTATGTATAAAATGATTTTTATATTAACGATATCAAACCAGTTTACAATGAATTTTTACATGTGCTCTGTCGAAACGACATTTTAATATACCTTTATGTACAATAAAAGTTTAATAAGAACATTTCTTTGTGCATGCATTTGAAAAAGACGTTTTTCGGTAGGAAAATGACGTTTTTTCAGACCAAGAGGCACGTTTTCTCATGCCGAAGACCTGGCAACACTGATTTAGACGAACTTTTTAACAAAGAAATCATACTTCACATACTTCGTTAAATTCGTTAAAAAATTACCTTTTTTGTCGGTAGGTTTTCCACACATATTTACTACCGGGCCCGGTTTTTCTCTTGGCGGCCCTGTATATACATATATATATGAATTCAACGGCAGGTGATTCGATATTTTTAAATCACCATAATCAATCATCAATTAAGTGAAATCATTCGCCTACTCTTATGGGACCTAGAAAGTTAGCTGACGCACGCTTCAGAACAGTAAATTTTAAAATTTTTACTGACTTAGCGACGACATACATACATATATGTATGTACATAGACATGCATACATACAAATACATATGTATGTATAAGTAGTTAGATAATAAATTGGGGATTTCAATGTTCAATTCGGCATACGTATGTACTAAACACCTTCACATTGGAATCGTCTGAACTTTTCAAAATCTTTAGCCTAACACTAATTAGGGATTAATTATAAACAACGAAACGATAAGTAACCACTGAATCAAATTATTCATATTTATCTCTTTTTCATTTACAGAATGCCTTCCTGCCCGTTATATACTAGCCATACTAGGCTCTTGTGGTATGGCGATCATTTATGGTCTGAAAGTAAATCTCAGTGTCGCCATGGTAGCTATGTTGAATCACACAGCCATCGAGGCAGGACATAACATTGGACATACAATTCATAACACGAGTGTCGTTATTCAATCGCAAGAAGAAGTTTGCGAGAGCCCAGGCGGTGGGAGTGCAAGCAAGCAAGAGGTTAGTATCTTAACCATGGAAGTGTTTCGCTCTTTTGACCATGTCTGCGGGCTTTGTTAGAGCGCGGTTACCCACGAACGTGTACGTTGCGTAGCGTGGAAGTACGAAGAAACATATCAAGTTTGCTGTTGATAGAAAGAGAGAGAAGCAACGTATACGTCACGGTCACGCCGTGGTGATTTTTTGTTAACACACAGATCCCATAAGATAGATCGTGTCAGCTGACACGTTCTCCGTTTTTACGTCCGTGGGCAACTGCGCTTTTAGTCGAAGCGACTAACACCACCTTTAGGTTTAAATAAGAAATAAACAATAGTTAAAAAGGAAATTCGTTTGATGATTTTGAGTTTTTGTTTATTTTTTAAACACATTAGCAAAGTATTAAATACATATTCTTTTCCCCATTACATATAATACACAAAAAGGTAAATGACTTCAGTTTTTGTACTCTTCTAAAGATCATGTTATACAAAAGGCTTATTTTTATACCCGAGCGCACTTGTGCACAAGGGTATATTAATTTTGTTCACATAACGGTTGTTTGTAACAGCCAAAACGAATCGAGATAGATATAGACATATGTATACATAAATGATCAGAATGGAAAGAGAAATCGACATGTGTATATCTTGGTAACCGCTGCACCAATTTCTTTCAAACTTGGCACAGTTGTTGGCCTTCGTACAACATACCAAATGGCCGAAAATATTTAAAATTGGACAATAACCACGCCCACATCCCATATAACGGTAATTTAGAGAAATACAATATCTTCGATAAATCAGTAAATATTAAAGCTAATTTATTCAAAATTGATGCTTGCAACAATTCTTAACCAAGAAATACGTTTGTAATAAAATTTTGGAAAATGGGGGTGGCACCGCCCACTTATGATCACATATATGTATCTCGGTAACCGTTCAACAAATTTGTACCAAACTCGGTATGGTTATTGTGCTTGTCACATAAAAGCAAAACGTTGAAAATCATTGAAAGCGGACTAAAATTAAGGCCGCTTTTCATATAACGGTAAATTTCGGAACTGCTTGAAACTTCAAAATTTCGAAATCTAAGGACTCTAATTTACTCAAACGCCCCGGCTTACCATGTAGCGGTAGCTTTCGGTAAGGTGAAAAACATATATTTAATACGTGCGCCGGGTATTTAATGTTCGGCTCCGCACGAACTTTGACTTTCTTACTTGTCTAATTTTACTTTAGTTTTGGCATTGGCAACACAGTCTTTGCTTAACACATATGTATATTTTTTATGAATATGATCAAAGAGTTATTTAGGAAGACATTTTTTGCACATTCTGTGCATATGTCAAACTTGTGTTCACCATAAATACTTTTTTGGCAATATTTACAGCATGACTTAGTCATTCGGTGCTTTTTATAATCACAAAAGCTGCAAATCTTCCTTTTTGTATGTTTTCTGTAGCAATACTTTGTATTTCTTCTTGAGGTAGTATATTTTCGATATTTTGACGAAGTTTATTTGATAATATTAGGGTCACAGTTGCGTCATATGTGGCTAAACCAGATCACTGTATAACTTCTTAAGAAAATTTCTCCGAGATAGTGGCTTCTTATTCGAGTTTAACACATAACAAGATTAATATACCCTTGTGCACAAGTGCGCTCGGGTATAAAAATAATCCCTAAAAATTTAATTCAATTAGCCAAATATATTTTTCCTTTTATACTATTTATATTTTTTCTTATATATTATAAGTCAATGAAATTAACAAAAGAAAACCGAATAAATCAAAAAAGGAGAAATAGATACCAAAAATTCTAAAAATTAAATTAAATTCAAAAATATTTTGTTTTCTTTTTAAACAAAAAAATTTAAAAATTAGAAGAAAATTTAGCCAAAACAAAATTAAAAAAATTATTAAAAGAAAAAAAGTTCCTCTAAATTAAATGAAATAAAACAAATATATATATATATCCTTTTAAACAATAAAATAAAATATGTAAATAAAAAATAAATAAATAAAAAACAAGTAAAAAAGTCTAAGTTCGGGCGGAGCCGAACATTAAATACCCGGCGCAAGTATTAAATATATGTTTTTCACCTTTCCGAAAGCTACCGCTACATGGTAAACCGAGGTGTATCCATTTTGAGTAAATTAGCGTCCTTAAATTTCGAAATATTGAAGTTTCAAGCATATCTGAAATTTACTGTTATATGAAAAGCGGTCGTAATTTTAGTTCGATTTCAATAAGTTTCAACGTTTTGCTTCTATGTGGCAAGTACAATAACCACACCGAGTTTGGTAGAACGGTTACCGAGATACATATATGTGATCATAAGTGGGCGGTGCCACGCCCATTTTTCAAAATTGTATCCTAAACGTATTTCTTGGTAACGAATTGTTGCAAGCATCAATTTTGAATAAATTAGCTTCAATAATTACTGATTTATCGAAGATTTCGTATTTCTCTAAATTACCGTTATATGGGATTATTGTCCTATTTTAAAAATTTTCGGCCATTTCGTATGTTATACCAAGGTTAACAACTGTGCCAAGTTTGGAAGAAATTGGTGCAGCGGTTACCAAGATATACACATGTAAACATAACTGGGCGTGGCTACGCCCATTTTCCAAAAATGTATAATATTCTTATTTTTCGTCTAAAACTTATTGTAAATATCAATTTTGAGTGAATAATCTTCAGTAGTTACTAAAATATCGCAGTATTCGTATTTCTGAAAATTACCGTTATATGGGAAGTGGGCGTGGTTGTTGTCCAATTTTTAAATTTTTCGGCCATTTAGTATGCTGTATCAAGGCCAACAACTGTGCAAAGTTTGGAATAAATTGATGCAGCGGTTACCAAGATATACACATGTAACCATAAGTAGGCGTGGCTACGCCCATTTTCAAAAAAATGTTAATATTCTTATTTTTTGTCTAAAATCTATTATAAATATCCATTTTGAGTGAATTATCTTCAGTAGTTACTAAAATATCGCAGTTTTTGTATTTCTGAAAATTACCGTTATATGGGAGGTAGGCGTGGTTATTGTCCGATTTTGCCCATTTTCAATACCATCCGTCCTACGCCCGAAAGAAGTGCATGTACGAAGTTTCGTTAAGATATCTCAATTTTTACTCGAGTTATCGTGTGCACAGACGGACGGACGGACGGACGGACGGACGGACAGACAGTCACCGCTTAATCGATTTCTCTTTTCATTCTGATCATTTATGTATACATTTGTCTATATCTATCTCGATTCGTTTTGCCTGTTACAAACAACCGTTATGTGAACAAAGTTATAATACCCTTGTGCACAAGTGCGCTCGGGTATAAAAATGTAAGTAAATTACGTATCTATTAATGAACGCCATATTTAACATCTCATAAATGCATAGCGGCCAACGATTGGGCTTGCGTAAACACGACATGACACTACACATCTGATCGAGAGTGTCCACGCCACCTTTAGTTTTATTGTAAAGCTCGACCATAGAAGGCTTACCAGTAAACTCATTAATTGAAGCTTCTTCATTGCATGACGATAAAAGCTAAACCATTTTGCTTGGTTTGCGTTTATAGTATAGTAAAGTGAGATTATTATCAAAACAGAACATAGATGTTCCTCCAGAACGACCTCTCTTGTTACGAAACTCATTCAAGATTTTTTTTTAGTACCGCGCAACATACCGACAATACTTAGCTTATATGGTTGTTGTATACGATTTTTTGCAAGCTCTATCGAAGTGAACAAGTTGTCCATCGTTATGTTCCTGTAACTTCCACCGGTTTTGTAAGTTCCTTAACAAAGTATTCGGCTATAGGTAAATTTGTCATGTTAGTCTCTTTACCCAAATAAGAATGGCGTTTACCATATAGTTCGTTCCACTATCACACAGCATGACAATTTTCGGCCCGTATTTTGATGGCTTATTGGGAATGTACATTCGAAAAGACGAGTGACCGCGAAAAGCGAGCAGATGCTCATCTATTGTCAAATATAATTCTGGATTTTAGTTTCCACGACAGTTATCAATAATAATATCCCAGACATGTCTTATATGAGTAAATCTATCGCTTATGCGAGCAATTCTAGTCATTTTGTCATCAAACCGTAATGATGTCAATAGATTCTTGAACCGCCTCTGACTCATAGTTGCTGAATATCTCGTTCCAGAGTAGGAAGTATCAAACAATGTCAATGTAAGCAAGCCAACCAATGCGTATAACTCAGTGGCGTTTGATGGGTGGCTCGCTACTTCGTATATAAAGACTGTCCCAGAAAAAAACGACCTTTCTTGCACACATTTGTTTGGCCTTGGTAAGCATTGATAATAAGAAAAAAATATTTACAGCCTTATTCTGTATCACGAACGATAGGCAACACGAACGATTCATCTGCAGAGGAATGCTTCAAAAATTAGTCCGGCGGCATCATTTTAGCCGGTTTAAAGCCAACAGAGACCATTGCAACGTAATGTATGAAAAGCAAGACGAATACGACTGATAGAGTTTAAAATCGCAATCTGAGAGGTTGTCGTCTGCAGACGAATCGTTCGTTTTGCCTATCGTTCGTGATACAGAATAAGGCCCTTATTCTACATTTAAAAATCTGTCAAAATTAGGACTGAATCCAAATATTTACTAGTTCGTCCCGTCCGAAAATGTCGTCAAAACAAGAAAAAGTTCGGAGTTTAATTCTCTCCAAATCTTCTGCTTCTTATTTGGCGCTGTAACCGCCTAAGCGATTTTGACCGAGTTCAGCAAAGCACGCCAGTCGTTTCTCTTTTGTGCCAAGTGACGCCAATTGGAAAGGCCAAGTGAAGCCAAGTCCTTCTCCACCTGATCTTTCCATCGCAGTGGGGGCCTCCCTCTTCCTCTGCTACCACCAGCGGGTTCCGAGTTGAATACTTCGTGTCCATTCGAACGACATGTCCAAGCCAGCGGAGCCACTGTATTTTAATTCGCTGTATTATGTCCATATCGTTGTAAAGCTCATACAGCTCATCG